AATTTCTCTGATAAAGGTCTCATTTCTCAAATATATGGAGAACTGAGTCAAATTTATAAGAATACAAGCCATTCCCTAATTGATAAATAATTAAAGGATATGAACAGTTTTCAGAAAAAGAAATCAAAGCTACTTATAGTCATATGAAACAAATGCTCTAAATCACTACTGATTAGAGAAATGCAAATTAAAACAACTCTGATACACCACCTCACACCTATCAGAAGTGACAAGTGCTGGAGTATATGCAGGAAAATAGATACATTAAAAGTTATTGGTGGAGTTGTAAACTGGTTCAATCATTCTGGTGAGCAATTTGGAACCATGCCCAAAGGGCTATGAAAGTATGCATACCCTTTGACCCAGCAATACCACTACTAGATTTGCACCCCAAAGAGATCAAAGAATAAAGGAAAGGGCCTATATGTACAAAAACATTTATAGCATCTCTTTTTGTAGGGGCAAAGAAGTGGAAATTGAGATTTTCATCAATTGGAGAATGGCTAAAGAAGTTTTGGCATATAATTGTGATGAAGTACTACTGTGCTATAAGAAATTACAAGGGGGCTGATTTATTAAATCTACTTTCTGATATTAACAGTTCACCTATGAAAGAGGCAATACTTTATATAACTTATCAATTTCTTATTCATGCAAAAGGACATTTTCTGCACCTTTCAGCACAAAATTGCTTCATATAAAAGGACATGGTAACTAAACTCCATAGCACCTTATATTTACATAGGTATTTGTCTTCCTCATTAAACTGGAAGTGATATTGCCAGATATGTACTTTTGGAAGATCACTTTGAAAAATGAATGAATAATGGATTGTAGTGGAGAAAGACTTGATGTAGGGAGACCAATCCAAAGGCTATGGCAATAGTTCAGGCATGCGATACTAAGAACTTATACTAACATGGTGGTTGTGAATGGAGAAATGAGATCATATACAAAAGAGTATGTGAAGGTAGAAATGACAAGACCTAACAACAGACTGGCTATGGGGTTAATGCAAATAAGGAAGATCAGAGATGACACCAAGATTTCAAATTTGGGTAACTGAAAGAATAGTAGTCCCACTGACAGTAAAAGAGAAGTGGAGAAAGAACGTTTGAGGGAAAAGATAGTAAGTCCTATTTTGGACGTGGCCAGGTAGCAAATTTAGAGATCTAGCACTACTTTCTTGGCAAACCTGCATTCTCTATATATTCCCACAGCCTCTGCTTTCTAGGAATATTAGAAGAAGCTGCCTGCATATGCAAGAGAAACCCTCCTTTCTAATAATCTCAAAACTTAATTCTATCTTGCCAGTAGGACATGGCAACTATTGGAAGAAACCAATCTTATCAGAAACTAGTCAGTACTTCAATAGATATGTGATTTCATTGGTATAGGTGTTCCCTCCATACAGCCAATCCATATCTTCCCATCCTTTATGATTCCTGTCCACATTCTCTGCAAACTAGTTTTTGCTGTGATTAGTCAAGAGTATATTGGTCACAAATTGACAGATTCTTAGAATGGATGCCCTGGAAGGGGCTTTAGAAAGATCTAAATTCAAATAGTTCATTCTACAAGTGGGGAAATCTGCACCCAGAAAGGCCAAGGAATTTGCCCAATGTCACAAAGCAAAATGATGAAAAACTAAGGATTAGATTCTAAATCTCCCAAGTCCCACCCCAGAACTCATGACTCTATACCAGGCTGTCAGCCACAAGCTACACTTGAAACCTGAGCCTAATATCCAGTATATACTTCTAAATCTGCATTTGGAAAATAAGAAAAATAATCACAGAAATCTCACAGCTAAATGGAGTGTTTTAATCTCCATTATAAAAGATTTAATCAAGTTCTAAGAGACTAATTTCAAAATGTTTTACATTGTTAATTGCATTCAAGTCATATCACATAAAGCAGAAATATAATAGTTATGACACAATAGCTTTTCAATATGTAAAAATCTGCAGTATATAAAATCTCCTAGAGAAAGATAGATTACTTAAATAATATCACATGTTCATAAACTACACTAACACTTTGCTATAATAACAATACTCAATACTCTCCTGAGAATGAGCTTCAGTGTAAAGTAGGTTCATCTTGGCTCCTGTGGAGGTATTCTAGTTACACAAAGAACTTCATTACAAGGTGGTCCCATGGAATGGGCCAGAGAGCATTTATAGAAAGCTGTCACTATATATATTAACATATAAATTTGCCCTTGATCTAGACTGTTTACCAGAGTGTGTGACAAAGACATTTATGGAGAAAAAGGGTATATATCTATGAAAGGCAAAGTTTAAAGAGAAAAACAAAAAACAAAAAGACACATATAAAGAGATAAAAGTAGAAATAGGGGGGAAACATTATATGCAAAACTACAGTAAATTACTATACTATAATCATACATAGTAATATATTCTGAGAAATAATAAGCCTGGAATTGTATCCTAATTTTTAATTTTATTATATTTCAAATCATTCTTGGCATCACAGTAAGATGAAGAGCTGGGATTTGAACTGAGGTCTTTTTACTCCAAATCCAGTGCTCTTTTCACTATACCAAGTAATGAACACGTCCAATGTACTTTATCCAAATAAGTTTCTTTGTTATATAAAATGAAAAAAGATTTTTTTTAAATTTTAGGTAATTTGATACTAAAATTTTAATCTTTCTCATAATGTCCTGAGAAATCACCAGTATCCATGATCCAAAGTTACATTTCTTTGTGGAAGGGGGTAAGAAGGGAGGAAATCAGTTAATGTACAAGTCTACCACCCAAAAGACAATTTCTAATAGATTGACTAAAACTTCCAAATCAATATAATATATATAATATATATATGTATATATATAAAAAGTAGAGATAAAACTGAGCAACAGATGTGTGACTATATATAGTAAAGGCTCTGAATCATAGCTCCAAAGTTAGTCTCAAAACCTCATTCTTTTCTTCACAAGCACCCTGGGCTGAGAGTCTCCTACAATGGTTGTTACAGATCACCTCTACCAGATTCAGCTTTAGTCTGTAATAAGCTTTGAAATTAATACCCCAATTAAGATTAATGACCACACCTGTATCGATTATGGGGTTTCAAGAGTCAGTTTTGCTTTGATCTCATTAAAACAGCTATGTGCTGGATTTAGGGAACAAAGGCCATTACCAGAAAAGGAAAACCATAGGTTTTTTTTGGGGGGGAGGAAGACAGGGGGGAGATTTTTATCTATAAATTCAAGGGCAAATAACAAATGTTATAAGAACCTCAAACAAGTTTTTGTATGTGAAATTCTTATGCCATTTTTACTCCAGATGCAGCAAAATAAAGTTCACAAGTCAGTTCAACTGAGCCATCTATGTTTTGTCTATAAATTTATCAATTCTAAACAGATTTTTCATTCTCTAATTTTTAAAAGCTACAGATGCATTATATTTTTTCATTTTAAAAAAGACATTGTAGAAAATTCCAAAAATTAACTCAGCAACAATCTATTAAAGGAAGCAAGACCTCCTCACAGAACTCTCTGTGATATGTTACCCTGGAAACATCTCTGGTTTCACTCCATGGGAAAATACACACAAACTTTAAAACGTGTCCACCCAATTTGAGAATTCAGGAAAAACATGCTACATATATGTTACATGTCCTTATAATATTTTCCCCAAAATAAACATGGCATAATACCACCAGGTGTGGAAATGGAAATATATGTGTACACAACAGGCAAAAGTGGAGTCAAATGAAGGCTGATTCCACATCATCCTGTGTAAAGAAAAAAAAAGATTATTTAGAGGGAAAAAGGCTTAGATCAAGCCTACTTATTCACAAGCTTTTCAATTTTCACATTGAAAACTATGGCAGTTAACTGTCACAAATCTCCTCACTCAGCAAATGTGGTGGCAAGCTAAGAGCAAAGAAGCATAGATCTCCCAATGGAGCAGTCGCATTTGTTGCTCTCTGCAATTGTGAGGATTTTTGTATTGTTTGTGTGCATTGCAATCTGTGCCTACTGTTCTAATCTCATTTTATTACCTCCAACACAACCTGTCTGGTAATTAAATTTATACCAAAATCCTAAGCTCATCTCAAGGACCTATGAAGCATGTGAGTCTACTCGGTTTTGTAAGACAAAGTTCCATGCATGGAAGCAAATCATTTCGAAAAAGTCACAATAAAACTTAGCAATATGGGGAAGACTTTAGTCAATTGACCAAGTAAAGCCTTCAGCTGAAAACCCATGACAAATTGTTCTATTCGTGGATATAATTAAACACCCATCTGTGGGATTTGGGACCCAACTTCTGAAAATTCTGCAGGGAGAAGGGCACAGAAAAATCACCTATTGCATGACTACAGCTTAATTTTTCAGGACCAATTTCCTACGAATAACCATCATGCCATTACAATCTTCATCACATTGTGATTTCTACAGGTAACTGGCAAAAAGCCCAAATGTTTGGCTGACTGGCATCTGTAAGATAACTAACAAGGTTATGTTGTTCAATAGCTCGCCCAATCAATACAGATTAGGTGTTTGTTTTAGAAGTGTAATTATAACTGGTGTTGGAATATGAAAACGGCAATTCTTTTTAAAATTCCCAGTTTTGCAGTTTCGCCGCGATTTCCCCCTAGGTCTTTCTAATGCGCTAGCCCCCCAAAAAAGCAGACATAAGTATCCTATCCACTGAACTTAGGAGCTATGAAGTTCCTGGGGTTCTATAGTAATTGCCCCTTATTAAGAATGACCAAGAGCGGGCGCATCTTTCCCAAGTGTGTGCCTTGCTAAGTACGGTCCGATCACCGTGGGGGCCAGGCACTATTCGCAAGTCCATCTCCTCCCACACTTTGAACCCCCATCCTCACTTGGTGTATGTCGCAAGTTTCTCTCAGCTGCCAACTTTCTGGGTGCTGAGTGTCCGAGGTGCCACCGGGGGAGAAGCGTGGACCAGGGATGAAAGAGCTAAAAGAAGGGAAAGAAGGGAATTGATAGCACTTACCGAGAAGCCAGCCCAGAAGGGGCAGGAGTGCCGGACCCTGGCTGAGGTGGTCAGGGCCAGCGCAGCGAAGCTGACTGCCACGATGAGACATCCGAGAACCATTGCGTGACCCCGAGAGCCAGCATGATCCGGGAGCGGGTCCGGTACTCGCGCAAGCGGGATAGGCTGCGGGACAGGGCGGCGGGGCTCAGCGAGCGGGGGCCCGCCACCGCCAAGCCCGAGCCACCCCCGGCCACGGCCGGCGGCATCCCGGGCTCTCTGCGGGCTCCGGGCGGGGCCGCAGTTCCTCAGGCGCTGACACCACTTCGTCTTCGTCCTCTGCTGATGCGCAGCTGGGACCTTCAGCCCAGGAGCCCCGTGCCGCTTCTGCCTGGGCGCAAGCAGTCCCTCCGTCCCCTCCTCCGCAGCGGCTGGAGCTCAGGCGGCAGCGGCGGTTGCCCCGGTGCCTCCGCGGCCGAAGAGGGGACTCCGGCCCCCAGACACGCAGCTCAGGGTGCTTCGCTCCCCCGCTCCTCCAAGAGAGTCCGCAGCAAGTTGAGCTTCAGTCGGGGACGTCCTCTGGTGGGGGATGCTAGGGCAGATAGGTCCCCTGGCGCTGCACGCCGCCCGCGGGCAAGAAGGTGAAGAGGAGAAGCAAGCGTGGGCAACCCCATCCCGCAGGCAGGAGGGAGCCGCCGCGGCCGCTGCCGCGGCTCCAGCGGAGGGCGGGTTACGGAGCCTCGTGCATCACGGATGCGCTCTAGATCTCCCTCTTCCCCTCTCTCCTTCTCTCCTCTCCCCTTCCCTCACACACATACACTCGCACACATGCACACACTCCACTCCACCGCTCTCCCCGCCCCCAGCTGGCGCGCGGCGCCTCCACAGCCGGCTCCGCACACTCGGGCACGGGCGCGAGCGGCCCCGCGCCCCCCGCACCCGGGCCAGCCAGCGAGTCAGACGCTCGCGTGAGCGAGCCACCGCCCGGATGTGCACTCGGAGGCCCCGGGCTCGAGGAGGGGCTGGGGGCGGAGGAGGGAAGGAGAAAGGCAGCCGACGCTGGTGGTGGCACAGGTGCTGCGGCCGGGCCAGTCCGGTGCTAGCTTGGCAGGAGAAGCTGCGGTACCGCGGCGGGAGAAGAGAGAAGAGCGGAGCCGGAGCCTCCTCCACTCTCGCTCGCGCTCCGTTGAAGCCGCTGAGGCGCCGGCCCCTCGGGAGCGAGAGTCTGGTTTGGGGAGTAGGGGGTGGACGAGGGTGTTTACAGGAGAAGGGGCGGGAGGCTGCAGGAAGAGCCGCCGCCGCCTCCAGGGGGAGAACGAGCAGCTTCCAGGAGCAAGAAAAATCAAGGGCAGAGGCTCCTGCTGAGAGACGGGGGCGAGATGGGAACCCTGGGGGCGCGAAAGGCGTCTGGGTCGCGGTAGTGACCCGGGTCCCTTCTGGCCTGGGTTGACTGACACTGGGCCGGGAATCTGTCTCCGCAAGACAGGAGCTAGGAGAACAACCCAACAGGCCCCTGAAACTCCCTATCCCGGGCTGGGGGGTGGCTTTGGGGACTAGGGGTTAGGGGCTGCAGCTGAGCTCTTGGGGCTGTTCCGAGCTTTTTAAAACGGTGGCCAGCGGGTTGGACTGTCTCCTCTCCGCGCTGGCCCCGAGGCCCGGGTAGGCGGTGCGCCCTGCGCTCTGGCTCCCGACCTCACAATGGATCCTCTTCTGGAAGGTGGACGAGGTGACTTCCAAGCTGGGCTTGATTGGAGCCTGCTCTCCAAAAAGGCATTAGTTAACCGCCTTTTGAAGCTGTGGACAGGGAAGAAGCTGCTTTGACTGGGGTGAAGCAAACATAGAGAGAAAGGGTGGGGGAGGGGAGATCCCTCGGTGAAGGAGTAAGAAAAGAGCAAAGGATCAAGGAGAGAAGAGTTTTGGGGTGTTTTTGTTTTGTTTTGTTTTGCTTTTTTAATAAGTAAAGGGAATTAAGTTAGGAAGATAAGAGATGCAACATTTCTTGTGCCCCGACTGAGACCAGTGTTAAATGTCAGATATTACGGTGAGCTATAATTATTGTAATATAGCAAATTTGAGGAAAATTCTGTGCCATGGAATAATTTTAATTAGCAATCTACACAAGCAGAGAAGAGCTACGGCTAAAGCTTCCTCCCCCAAATTACTCATTTCTGATATGGTAATCTTATAAAATGCAAGATATTCGTCTGGTTCAGAATTTCGAAGACAGCCTCCCCAGAGCTCCTCTCTGACAGTATGTGTATTTAATTTTTTTTTCAGTGTGCCCTTTGAGGTACAAGACATATGCTTATATGACTTTCACAAGCAGGGCTTTTACTTGAAATAAAAAGTTTGCCTTCTAAACGTGTTAAGAGAAAATAAATAAAATCTTAAAGCTCTGATAAGAAAAAAATCAAGTCATCTAGTCTCTCTTCTGTCAGCATATCTTTTTAAAAGAGATTATAGTTACCTTAGTCAAGGTATATATTTTAGAATCTTCCTTCTTTTTGGTGGGATTTGGGAGGTATTTTTGTGGGACTTGGGAGGTATTCTGCATATAAAAATAATTTTAAGATGACTTTAAAAATATTGTATTGAAATCTGCTTCAAAACCTACTAACAAGCTATGTTACTATGGGTAAGGCACTCCCAAAATTAATTTTCCTTATCTATAAAGAAGGGATATCATTTTTTGTATTTACAAGTTTGTCAGGAAGGCACTTTGTAAAGTGTTATAGAAATGAATTATTGTACTTGCAGGACTACATTACTGACTTGACCTTACCTTTAAAATACAAAGGTAACCATGGGATAGTGGAAGGAAATAGAAACTAAGGATAGTTCCTTCTACAAATCAGTGTTCCATGGTCCTTATTAAAGACCACCTTTAAGTGTAAATGGAATGGGCAGCTACTGTAGAATTTGAGAAACTCTGGGCACAGCTAAGAAAGAAGAAAATTGTATCCAAACTCACTTTGTAAACACAAAGCACTATCTAAACATAAGCTATCATTATCCATTGGCTTATCTTCATTGAGATCATAATAACAGGAAATTAGCTTGAACTAGCAGATAGAAGTGTAAGGAAGAATTTCCAGATAGGGTTGATAAATCACTGTACTGGAATTCCAAAGAAGGTTGTGGGCTTTCCTTCAGAAATCTCTAACTCTGAACTTCTTTTTGGACTTAGTGTCTGTATTTGTAGCCAGGTTTCCTCCTGAACACATGGGAGTCTTTCAGAGCCTTGATTTCTTCATCTGGAAAATGGGTCTAATACTTGCACCAACTCATAGGGATATTGTAAGTGAAGTTCTGTAAACCTTAAGATACCATATAAATGTATTGTTATTGTTAGTTATATTCTAAATAAATTTAAAACCTCACTGATTATTTCCAATAGGCAAGCAAAGGGACAATCTCTTCAACCTCATTATCCTATTCTTAGAAAGCTCTAAGACTTGGAAGTCAGCATAGTAAAGATCCTTTTTCAATGGAAATTACTTCATTAGTGTCACTTTTTTTTCTGGCTTTCAACCAGTTCTGGAAACAACTTTTATGAGTCTTTTATAAACACAGTATCAGTCCTTCTCAGAGGGAAGGAAGGAAAGAGAAATTCATGTTATGAGTTGCCACCCACAGGCCTATCTATTACTCAGGCAGCCTCTTTGCAGTGAGAATTTGAGAGACGATGAAACAGGAGGCTTTAGCTTCAAAGCAAAAGGGGTTTGGTGTGATTCTATGTTAGAGGGGCCACTCCTTTGTGAAATTTTGTTTTAGGAACTGAAGAGTAGAAGAAGAGCCTTATCCACAATTGAAACCTTCACCAGTTTATTACCTACATTGGAAAATAGATTCATTGAACATGTTTGAGTATCTTCTATGTTCCATTAATACACTCAAATCTTATCTATAGCAGAAGGCCCTTCCTAATCCTCTCCAGCTGCTAGTGCATTTCCCTCTGAGATTACCTTACATGTACTCTCTAGACAGATGGATAGATGGGTAGATAGATAGATACAGATATTGTGTATATACTTAGATATTTACATGTTGTGTTACCTATTAGAATATGAGTTCCTTAAGGCCAGGGACTTTTTTTCTCATATATTTTTATCTATCCTTAGTGCTTAACAGTATGTGTGGTATCTAGTAAGTGCTTAATAAATGCTTTTTGACTATGTCCTAGGGAAAACCAAAGATAAATAAGACATGGTCCCTATCCTCAAAGGGTATATATTCTAGTGGAAAGTAACAGTGTATAAATTTACTAAGAACATCTTTATAAATTTTTAGAATAATTATGATTACATAATAAAAATACAGCAAATTTAGGAAGATGAAGTTCAAGTAATTATTCATATCAAACATTTTTAAAGTAACTAGGAAAAGGTCATGTAGGCCTCAGTATTTTAAAATAACTGTGAAAGATATGTCTGTCACTTAGAATGAGTTTATATTAAACCATTAATTCATTTCAGGGTCTCCAAAGTTGCTTGTTTGGCTCTTTTTTCGAGAGGCTTACTTATCAACATTTATAAATATTATTTTACTTTTATGAGAACCACCTGATTAAAGCCAACAAATCATTCTGGATTATGCAGGGAGGACAAATGAATGTGTGAGGAAAAACATCTACTTAGATTAATCCTACCAGCATTTTTGCAGACTTGCACATTTTAATGATTCGATGTAAAAAATAAGCAGCTATTCATATGCATACACATTGACGCTCACAAAATAATACATGAAAGAAATGTTTTGCCTCTAGGGAAAAAGTACTAGAGTTATGAATCATACACATGGGATGTGCATGATTCTCATCCATCAGTTTAAGAGGGAAAATGGAGCCAAATTTATCATTTGGTTTTTGAAGTATGATGTTCACCTTCAACCAGAACTCCTTGACTAACTTTTTTAAAGGAAAAATTAAAACAGTGACTGTCTTCCAGAAAAAGTCATTGTCAATGTAAATATTAAATTTCTAAAATTAAAATTCTAAAAATCTATGATCCAGAGTTAATGTTGCTCTCATTGTTTCTACCTAATAGCAGCAAATCACTTACAAATGGAATTCTTTGGGTAAATAGTAAGCATTATAAGTAATGAAAAGTGAAATAGTATCAAGATCCCACAAAGTTTTGTGTCTTGTAGTAGAGCAAGGCCTTTCACAGTCTGATTCCATTTTATTTTCTTAGCCTTATTTCTAATTATTTTTCCAAACCCTCCATTCTAACCAAGTTGATTTTTTCAGTCCCATAAATATACCTTGTCC